CTTCATATTACATCATACTATTTCATGGTGTGTTTATGGTTTCCACTCCACCTACTCTCCCAAGCTCCTCCCCCTTCTCAAGCTCCTCCCCCTTCTCCCATCCAGATCCACCCCCTTTTCCTTTCCATCTCTGGTTAGAAAGCAACCATGCTTCTATCGGACGATAAAATAAAAGATAAAACAAAGCTAACACAACGGAATTGGACCAAACAAACAAACTGAAGGAAAAGAGCCCAAGAGAAGGCATAAGAGTCGGAATGATGGCATGGCACCCTCAGGAATCCCTTAAAACACTAAACTGGAAGCCATCATGTATATTCAAAGCCCTACTGGGGAAAAAAGTGAGCCGATAACAACATAGATAAAGAGAGAGGCTCGATTCTCTCCTAAGCTACGTGTCTCTACCCTCTCAAACCGCCGATCCCACCAACGTGGAGCAGGCGATGCAGTTTTTCGAGCCAAGTCGACCGTTTGTAAAGGACTCAATTCGGCTGCTTAAAAGATGTATCAAACCCGACAGAAGAGAATTCCAGAAGGTCGCCATGGCCACAGCGATAGGATTCGCTATCATGAGATTCACTGGCTTCTTTGTGAAACTGATCCCTATCCCTGTTCATAATATTCTTGTGGGTGGCTGAGTCCTTTCTCATCATGGGACGAGTGAACCAATGAGGGGGTGACAAGCTCGTGGAGTAAGACGTTGCCTGGATGCTTTGCATTTTTTTTGTTGTTGTTGTTGTTTCTTCCCATCTTCCTATGAGGTTTTCTATTTCTAAATTAAAATAATTTCAAAAAAACAGAGAATTAAATTAAAAACTATAAGGTAATTGAAAAAGTAAAAATGAAGAGGAGATTATATGTCCTCACAGGACATGATATGACAAAGGAGACTGCAGAAATGCTTCTGAGCTCTCTTTCTCTTGGCCATCTGCTGCTGGGCATGATGCTTATCCTTAAAAAGAGTGTGTTTCCCAGTGAGATCCCCTCGGAGGAAACTAAATTCTCTTTTGTAAGTGGTTGTCAACTGAGTTAGGAAAGAGGGCGTGTGTCCACTCCTTCTTTCAGCTCTAGGATCCCAGCAGGCCCAGTGCATGTTGCCTCAGTCTCTTCAAGTTCACATGTGTGTAGACCCCATTGATTTAGAGGGTCTTGTTTTCTTGGTGTCTTCCATTCGTTTGAAGTAAGTGTTCTTAACTGCCAGCTATGTCTTCCGTTTATGTAAAGAAACCTTGCATGTCTAGTGTTTTCTGTATATCTGTATTAAAAGCACTTCATGTTTCCTGGTTTCATATATGAAATTCATGGGGCTAGACATGACTTTCTTTTTTTTTTAAAAAAAAAACATTACTCATATGCCATAATAGAGTGTCTAAACTCTGAGTTCTGCAAGTTTAGAGTATGATACATTTAATCTTTTCATGAGAACATATGCTTGTGTTTACAGTAAATGGAATTAAAACTATAGATTGTCTCATATCAGGCCTTTTTGTTTGTTTTTATTAGTTTTGTTGAAGTATAATTCATAGTACCTTCAAATTGGTCCAATTAAACAGCCCAGTAAATTACTAGATTTGAGTGCATTTGAGGCTCTGTGCTATTGCCACAGCCTTAAACCTGAAGATGCAATTAAGGGTAGGAAAAATGGATGTGTAGTTATCGCTGTTTCAAAGATGTAGGATTTTGTGTTTGTTCTTATTTGACTTTTAAATTCTAACAAGGTCTATTGGGAAAAGTTTTGACCTCAAACAGTATGGGTCAGTAAACCCAGTTACAGTCTCAGTGAAATGCATCTGTGCTCACTGATGTCTTTGATATGTTTGGCGGTCTTATGTACTGTTTAACAAATTGGTAATGGAGTTTGGGTAATCAGCGTATCCTTTTGGGGGCTTGTGTATGGGTTAGGATGCTTGGATCCTTAATTTGTTTTTGCAAAACAATGATAAATTGTAGGCTTCTGCATAAATACAATTTCCTAGAGCAAGAATCTTATGTCAGTGTTTGATTGCTTTCCTGGCTTGTGTTTGGTGCATGAAGCCCCTTTGGTTTTGCAATGAGTGTCAGTGGCTTACAGTGTAAACACGAAAAGAGTACCTCTAGCTTTTACTTGTATATTTGTTATACATGTATTGGGTACATGCAGCAGTAATTAGGCTGTATTTCAAACATCAAATTGGCTTTTTCAAAGCTGTGACTTGGTGTTAGGTTAACAAAAAAAAAAGTGTTGGAAATTATGGGATAAACTAATTTGTATTTCATTACCTGTTTGGAAAAAAAAACAATGCATATTTTAGATAAACTAAACACACGTAGGGAAAGGGTAGAATATAGACTATTCCTTTATGCTTTTAAAGAAATAGTCACCCTAAGATATTGCCAAGCTAACTGCCTGGACACAAATACACCTCTGAACAACTTTAAAAGAGCAATAACATCAAGCTAATTATGGGAGAATGATTCTATAAAAATTTAATATGCCATTAAGACATTAGCCAATTTACATCAGATTTATATGAAGGTCATTTGAACCTGCACCTCTGCATCCAGCTGATTTCTTTTCTTCTAGATTAATTACGAAAAAGGCTCTGAAAAAAAAAAGTTAGACGTTTGAGAGAAGTTGTGATTTCAGAAATAAAAGGACCGTGCTGGGAAAAGTATGGCCATGTGGCATAATGACACAAACCCCGCAGTTCTAATCAGAAGCCCTGCCTCTCACACAGGCTTTGCCTCGACCTAGTTGTGTAATTTTCGACAGGTCATTTAACGTCTCCAGGAGAGAATTTTCCTAATAGGAATATGCCTGAGGAGACCTCAAAGACTAGTGAAATCAGTCTTTTTTTTTTTTTAATCACCGTTTTAAAAATACATTTTAGTGGGTTTCTTTTGTACGATTATAATCTTGTTTGTCTTTGAAATAAACAGACTGGAAAGATATATTTCTTGTGCAGATATTACATTCTCCATTTCCAGGAATAAAAAGTTCAAATTCTAAAGTGTTCCAGTGATGTTTCTTTCCTTTGCTCCCCACCCCCAACTGCCTTAAGATAATCTCCTGCATCCCAGGCTAGCTTCAAGCTTGTTGTGTGGCCAGGCAAGGATGAGCATCAACTTCTGATTCTCCTGTCTTTCCTTGTGCTGGGCGTGTGCCACTAACTCGATTTATCCTGTGCCGGGGATGAAACCAAGGGCTCTGTGTGTATTAAGCAAACATTCTACCAACTCAGCTATATTAACAGCCCTGTAATAAAATTTTGTCAACAAAGTATGAAAGTGCTGGGTGTTTCAGAGCAATATCTTTGTGATTACAAGGGTATTCCCACGTCCATTTCATCACGAAGAGATCGTCTTTTCCGTTGTCTTCAGTAGAATTGACATTGACAGGTTGTCTAAAATGTAGTCTCTTATAAGGTGATCTCCCTTTATAATTCTTGATAAATGTATCATTTTTCTATTAGGCGTGCTATTTTATTCATTAAATCAGAAGTTGACTTTTGTGTTCTGTTCCTTTCAAGCAAAACAGTGTGTCTCTCTTATGTAGTAGAATTAATTTTCCATTATCTGTTGAAATCTACTAGAAATACCCAAGGAAATAATATGAACAGCGTCAAACTCTCCATACATACTGAAGAGTGCCCTGTCTGTGCTCTTTGGAAGAAACCAGTTGATGAACATCTGCTCTGAGCGCCAGAGCTGAGGCTGGTGGCAGTTGCAACAGATGGTCATGGCCCTGTTCTAGGCTACAATTCCTAGACACCTGATCTTTCTAGTAACATGGCTGATAAATCGACATGTGGCTGTCACTGGAAAGTACTAGACATTGCACTCTGCCAAGGAATTAAGTTCCATGGTATGAATCATTCCATTTTACACAAGCTGCACGCATGCATTGAAGGATGTTGACATTCATTTTTAATTACATCTGAGTCTTTAATTAATTTGTCGAGAGGATGTTCTTAGCTTTAAGTTTTAATTTAAAAAAATTTTTAAAAATGATAACGTTTTTTAAATTAAAATTAAAAAAATTTCTCCTTTTTACCTTAACATTTTAGGAGACCGAGATTTAAATCACTGTCATTTGTGACGCTAACACTAAGTCACAAAACCCTAATTTTCTTACTCCATGTTTTCTCAGAGTTCTTAGGATGTCATACTTTACATTATAATCACCTGTATTTTTAAAAGGGCGTTAACTCTTAACTGATCACTGATTTCATCTGGAGGTTGTGAATGTTTTCAATATGATCATAGGAAACTTCACTAACAAGTTCTCCCTAAAAGAAGCCCAAGAGAGAGGGCTCGCTAGCTCCCTGGAGAAGAGCAGCTATGAAATTGAACTTATGTTGAAGTTTATCTTAATATATTAGGTATGGATACGTTTCTTTTTCTCCATCTTTCTCATTTATTGTCACCTTAAGTTATATATGTATGCATATGTATGTTTAATATATACACACATTATATATATTAAAATACAATTATATAATTAATATATAATACATAATACATAATACGTAGTATGTAGTATGTAGGATATAGTATATAGTATATAATATGTGTGTATATATTATATATAATGTGTGTATATGTTATACATATTATATACAATGTGTGTATATATTAAACATACGTATGTATGCATGTGTATGTTTATATCCAAAGGAGAGAGCTTTCAGTGTGGGGGGGAATACATTTGATGTAAGTATTATACAAATTTAACACTGGACTAGCATCATCTCTGTTAGCACTACGTTCTCAGGCATGTATGACACAGTGATCTTTGATTTTTTTTGTAAAGTCTCAGTGACAGGTACATTGGTAGCCATGACTTATTTCAGCTCAGCCACAGCAGTACCTTTAGTAGACTTCATTCATTCTGTCATGGTCTCTTTACATGCCTTGTCATTTCTCTTGGAAAATGGGGTGTTTTGTTGTCTCCAAAAAGAAGTATTGGGACAGCTAAAATGTCATTAGAGGTTTTGGAACTTTGAAATTAAGTTTTGAATTAAAAACAAAAGAATTAAATCTACCCATCTCAACATGAACTTGTCACCGCCCTGATTTTGGTTTGGTTTTGAAGTGTGCCACCAGAAGGCTCATGTGTGCCTAGCTAGGGGTACAACGGAGGCTTGTCTGTGAAGCCTTAAACTCGATCGTGAGGTACCTGGATGGACTGTGACATGGAGCCATGCCACAGCAGGCGGGTTGCAAGGCCGTGCCTTGTCATGGGCACTTTGTTCAGATGCCTTCACTCTCAGTGATTTTCTGCATCCTGAATGTCATGAGATGAGTAGCTCCAGTTTGCAATGTCATCCTCGCCATGATGTTGAGGTCAGGACTATATTCTTGAGTTTCATGACCAGACCCCTTTGAAACCTTGGGGCAAAATAAACCTTTCTTTCCTTAGATGATTTCCTCAGATGTTTATCACAGTGAAGTGTGATAAATAGTAGACATCTTAATTTGGAAATCAAGTCAGATTCAAATTCTTAATTTTCTGTTCTGATGAGAGTTGCTAAATTAATTCTTGAAGCATAATTTTTCAGTTATCTCAAATTTTCTTTTCTGCCCTTAGGAATTAATATTTCTTCCTATCTTGTTCAGACAGCCGAGTGAGGCACTCAGACATCCATTGCTTTAATAA